ACACACACACACACACACACACACACACACACACACACACACACACACACACACACACACACACACACACACACACACAGAAGCAGAAGCATTCTGTCTTCTCCCAGCCGTGTGAACGTGTGAAGAGCTAGGCTCAACCGCGTTGAAAGCGACCAACGCCAAGAAGCAGCAAGGGGTAGAATATGTTGCTGGTTTCAACCTGGAAGGAAAATGAGCGAGAGCAATAAACAGAAAACCAAATTGCAGAAAAAACAAATTGCAGGCAAGCGGGCTAGCTTAGTTGGTTGAGCACGTAAGTGGGACTCAGGAGGTTGTGGGTTCGATACCAAACGTGGTCCTTTCGATCCTCGTGGCCGCCTGGGGGTATGCTTCTGGTTCACCAGTGGAGATTGTTGGCTTGGGCCTTTTGGCTGGTTGTGGAAGCAGTTGGTTCCTTCCAGCCCATGCCAGGTTTTAGGAGCTTGGGTACTGCTCCCCGCACAGAGCAGAGATAGGTAGGCGTAGACCCATAACCCCAGGAGAACTTAGCATTTGCTAGTGAATTTAAGCCTTCGCCCCTTCTTCCAAGGTAGGGTAGACTTAGGAGGTAGTATAATGCTTGCCCAGGATGTTCCGTAGTCAGCTTGGTAGGGCTTACGGGTGAGATGTAGATGTGGGTAGCTAGAGCAAGGTAAAGAAAAAGAGAGAAGAAAATAGGGTAGGCAAGAAAAATACAACTGTCCCCGTTATGAGGAGAAGACAGCTGTAATTCTTTTTTTTTTAAAGAAAAAAAAGAAAACCAAATTGCAAACATAAGTCCAGATAGTCGTGTACCACGCAGAAAGTAGTATGCACCGAGATGCAACCCAAATAAGAGCAATGCAATGAATACAAATGTCAATGTCAGCCCCACCTCGCCACCATCCACAAGATACCCAATGTTGCTCCTCTCTATTGGCGCTCGGCGCCCAGCCTACCACTACTCAGAACCTATTCCAGTCGAAGCCCATGCACACTACCGCATACACATCAGGTATGTGTCTCTTCTCTCTCGCACACACAACCTTCCTCCCCACAGTCCTCACCTCCTGCCCAAGCACCACCATCACCACCACTGGCCACCCTGCACGCACAGCCTGGCTATGGCTGCAGTGCGGCGCAGCTCCTGCCGGTGCCGTTTCTCACGCCCGTGTTCGCAAGAGCCCTGCTCCTGGCAACCTGCCAGCGCTTCTTCCACAAAGCCAGGGCTTGACTGCCTGACTGGGAGCCCAACACTTTCCTGCTGGGCCCCAGTAGCTTCAAGTCGGGCCCTGGCATCTGCACACAGGCCCAGTCCCGACAGTTGACAGATCCCAACTGCGCGATGTGTCAGTTGCTGCTCGGCCCGATCTCATTGGCCGACGGCCAGTGAGTGACGTGCCGCACAGGAAAGGGCCCGTCGCCCTGGCAGGGGGCCTGTTCACAGAGCGAGGGCCTTCCTCAGCAGCTGGAAAATGCCGCCAGGCTTGAGGCCACCAACCCCCGCGGCCCTGTGCCGCTCAGGGCTCCACTAGGCCTTGCAAGGGGCCATTTTCCTCGCACACCTCTGACTATTAAAAGGCCACCAGAGAAACCACGGATTTGGATCAACAATTGGGGAAATGAAAGGGGTGCAGACCGATGCAGAGGCGGACTTTCACTTCGCAGTACAAACATGGATCGGTACCAGAGAACAAAGGAATTGGACACTGGAAAACCACACATATAACTAACCTGTAGGCGCGCAGCGTCCGGGGAAAACGGTACCCATGGCCGATGAGCTTTAGAGGGTTGGGAGGAAAAAGAAAGGACAGTAATGTGCAGAATTCTCGGACTGCAATTGTGCAGTGCTTTGTATTGGGCATTTTGACCCAGAAGAACTACCCTTGGAAAGCAGACTGGTGTTGGCAAGCTTGGACCTTCAGGGTTTCCTTTGTTATCCTCTTAAACCGCAACTGGCCGTGAAGGATGTGCCAGCGCACAAGGAGGCCGCACTGTGGATACACCGCATGCATGCATCCGGATTGATTCATTCAAGCTACCATCTCCTGCCGAACATAACACACCCTGACACTGAATGTATGCAAGCTACATTTCCGGTCAGGTGCAGCCAAAATGACAGTGCGTTGTGTTCAGGGGAAGACGGTAGTAGTACCCACAAGAGGGCAACAAGAGGGTCATAGGAACTGCCCGTTAAGTTGGAACTGAGAAATCCAAATGCCTGCTGGGGCCTCAACCCAGATGCACTTGGTTAGGACTGGACTGCACACAGTGGAGATATGAACAAAGGTATTGCATGTACTCGTTGTACGGGCTCATCTCTTGCAGATGCTCATGCTGATCAAGCTTATCAGGATGAGCAATGGGGCTCATGAGCTGAATGATTTGAGGATATTCATGAGTCTCAGGATGTTTTTGAGCATGATGCTGGCAAGAGAAGCAGTAGATCTCAAAGAAAACCATCCGCCGCGCACTGTGGGTGGGATGGGGGCAGGCCAGTCACACTGTCGGTAGCAGGGTTTGTACTTACTAGTTTGTGGCCTTTCCCGTTTATCAGTACATGTGTGTGGTACGCCGTCATGGGGCCGGGATGTATTGACAGCATGCCATTGCTGTGACGTCGTGAATACTCCCAAAGGCTCGCCCACTTGTGATGTATGCAGCGCAGTGAAGTGGCTTCTTTGAGTGGAATGAATTGATCTGACCTAGCCAAAAGTGTTGATAGTAACTTGATACTGACAGCTAACCCCAGAACGAAGAGATTGCGAGATGGACCTGGCCAGATAATAATAATTTTTGACACCACTGGGGTCTTGAACACTTCTTTTTTTCCTTTTTTGAAACCACCACTACCTTTCGCAGCTGTAGTCCCGTTTAGGAAAATGATGTATTCCGAAAAAATTGCTGCCGCACGGCCACGGACCTCTTAAACGAGTGGGACCCACTCCCCCGCCGCCGACATATTAGAAAGGTAGTGGTGGTTTAATGTGGTCCGATGGACCACGGATCAGATATTAAACAGATACTACACTTGATCTTACCCAAAAGGCCGAGAAAGGTCTTGGGGTCTTGAACACTGAATCGGAAGTTTATCCTGATTATGTTCTACCATCCACAAATGAACCCCTGTGCTGACATGTGCTTTTTCCAGTGCAGGCAGATATTGCAGCGCTTCTCTTCCTGTGGATGCCCATAGCGAAGCCAATCCGCATGCTGATGGACCCCGAGAGTGAAGATGCCATCTTTCTGCAACACATGGAAAACAATCAGCAGAAGAGGGGAGAGAAGAATGGGTTTCTGGTTCCAGGCTTGTCTCTTTCAGACCTGGACAGACCGCTGGAGAGATTACTTGAGAAGAGAATGTTTCTAGAATCCTTCAAGAAGTTTGCTGAAAGGTGAGCATGTGGCACCGTCTCACTTGCAAACTGGCTGAAAATCTAACGAACCCGAAAAGAAGATGAAACTTGTGCAATCGTCATACTATTCTTCGTTTTATAGGATGCATAATGGTTACCATGTGGACTTCTAGATCGAACGCCAGACAGTCTGAACCTGGATGTCCTGTGTCTGGGTCCAGTAGTCTTGACGCTTCCCCTCAAAAAGAGATTTAAAAAATGGAGGAGGCAGCCTGGAACCACCGGTTAGGTCCTTGTTTGGCCCCCTGAACTGTTGTCACCAGGGGCCCGTCTTCTGGATCCAGACCAGACAGGTGGGAAAGTTCTCCAGAATCGTTTGTGTGTGTGTGTGTGTGTGTGTGTGTGTGTGTGTGTGTGTGTGTGTGTGTGTG